GGAGGAGGAGGAGGAGGAGGAGGAGGAGGAGAGAGTTTTTAGGAAGAGGAGGAGGAGGAGGACGAGGAGGAGCAGGAGGAGGAGGTGGGATCGCAGAGGTCGCGCCGCCCGTGACGCCTCGTGGCCGCCTCGTGGGCGCATTTCTGAGCGCCTCGTGCGCTGAGTCTGCCGAGGTCGCGCCGCGCTGCCGCCCCGTGGGCGCGTCTGTGGGCGCCTCGTGGTCCTCTCTCAGAGGCCCCCCCTCTTCTCCCTCCTCCTCCTCCTCCTCCTCCTCCTCCTCCTCCTCCTCCTGATCTTCCTCCTCCTCCTCCTGATCTTCCTCCTCCTCCTCCTGATCTTCCTCCTCCTGATCTTCCTCCTCCTGATCTTCCTCCTGATGTTCCTCCTACTCCTTCTCCTGATCTGCCTCCCCCCACGTGGGCTCGCGGCGAACAAGCATTGCGACGTAGGGTCTTTGGCCGCCCGTCGGCTTCTGTGGGTCCCCGCTGGCCCCGGGCCTGGACAGGCTCGGCTCGGGGCGAGAGGGTGGTCTCTCTGGGACGGGGCCCAGACCTCTGGGGTCCCTGCTGTGAGATAAATCGCGGCGTCGGAGGAGCAGCAGGAGGAGGAAGAGGAGGTGGAGGAGGAGGAGGAGGAAGATCAGGAGGAGGAGGAGGAATATCAGGAAGGAGGTGGAGGAGGAAGATCAGGGATCAGGAAGAGGAGTAGGAGGAACATCAGGAAGAAGGAGTACGAATATTATAATGAAAGAGGAGGACGAATATTAGGAAGGAGGAGGAGGAAGAGGAGGAGGGGGGGGAGGACAGCGCTGCAGCGGGAGCACGATTCTGAACGAGCGGAAGCCCGAACATGAGGCCAGCGGTTCAGCAGGAACCACACTTTGAAAAACAACCCAAGCGAAAACCCCTTTGCCTCGGAATCACGTGTGTAAAACAATAATGCGCGGAGGGGGGCCGGACATCTCCTGGACGTCATCAGGGGAGAGGGGAGAGTAATATTCATTGTGTAATTGTGGAGGAGAGTTCTGGGGAGGCCCCTTGCTTTCTCCGGGAGGCCGCTCACCCTCTCCGTCTGCTCGCCGCCACGGGCCAGCCACAGCCAGGACCCCCCTGGGGGCCCATCGGCTTCGACGCTCCTCGTTTTGAAGAGATAGCGCCCCGCGTCCTTCGTTCTCCTCCTCTTGCTCCCCCGTCCTCTCATCATCATCATCATCATCATCATCATCATCATCATCATCATCATCATCATCATCATCATCATCATCATCAGCATCATCATCATCATCGTCGTCGCCATTATCCGGGCGTCATCATCACCATCACCCTCATCGTCATCATGTTCTTCTTCATCACCATCATCAGCATCATTACCATCATAATCATTGTCGTCATCATCATCATCATCCTCGTACTCATCATCAGCATCATCAACACGATCAACACCATCATCATCGCTGTTATCTTCATCACCATCATCGTTGTCGTCATTGTCGTCATCATCATAATCATCATCATCAGTATCATCATCATTGTCATCATCACCATCATCATCATCATCACCATAGCCATGATCATTGCCATGGCCGTCATTATCACCATCACCATCATCGTCATCATCACCATTACCATCATCATCATCATCATCATCATCATCACCATCATCATCGTCGTCGTCATCGTACTCATATCCTCATCATCAGCATCGTCATCACCATCAACATCAATACCAACACATAATTACCGTCGTCATCATCATTACCATCGTCGTCGTCCTCCTCCTCATCATCATCATCATCATCATCAGTATCAGTATCATCAACACCGTCATCTTCACCACCATCGGCATCAACAGCATTACCATCATTGCTTTCATCATCGCCATCATCATCACCATCATCGTCATCATTATCATCATCATCGTCATCATCATCACCATCGTCAGCATCATAATCATCATCATCAGCATCATCAGCATCATCATCATCATTACCACCACCATCACCATCACCACCACCATCATCATCAGTTGCATCATCGTTGTCATCAGCATCATAATCATCATCATTATCACCAGTATCATCACTCCCGTTTCGGCACACCCTCAAACGTTTCGTGGCCCCATAAGGGGGCTTCACCTAAGGTCACAGTAGCGCCGCCCGCATGTAGGCGCAACCCCCGTGTCGGCACACCCCTCACACGGTTTGGAGCCCCACAGGGATCTCCATTTAAGGTCCCATTGGCGCCGCCCGCATGGGGGCAACACCCCCGTTTTGGCTCACCCTTCACACGTTTCGTGGCCCCATACGGAGCTCCACCTAAGGCCCCATTGGCGCCGCCCGCTTGTGGGCGCCACTCCGTGTCGGCACACCCCTCACACGTTTCAGGGCTCCATAGGGAGCTCCACGGAATGCCCCAGTGGCGCCGCTTGCATGGGGCGCCACCCCGTTTCGGCACACTTTTAGTTTATCTCGTGGCCCCATACGGAGCTCCACCTCAGGCCCGACTGGCGCCGCCCGCATGTGGGCGCCAGCCCCGTGTCGGCACACCCCTCACACGTTTCGGGGCTCCACGTGGAGCTCCACCTGGGCGCCACCCCCGTTTCACACCCCTCACACGTTTCGTGGTCCCATACGGAGCTCCACCTAAGGCCCCACTGGCGCCACCCGTATTTAGCCGCCACCCTCATGTCGGCACACCCATCACACAGTTCGTGGCCCCGTGAGGAGCTCCACTCGAGGCCCCGTTGGCGCAGCCCGCATGTGACCGACACCCCATTTTCGGCACACCCGTCACACGTTTCGTGGTCCCACAGGAAGCTCCACCTACGGTCCCATTGGCGCAGCCCGCATTTTGAGCGACCCCTACACTTCGGCACACCCCGCCCACGTTTCGTGGCTCCGCAAGGAGCAATTGCGATACTCACGACTGCATGTGGTTGGGCTCTTCGCCAGGCTAATCCCATCCTCCGTTCCTAGCGTGTCCCGCCCGTAACCCGATCGGCGCTTGCAACAGCTTCGGCTTGTTTGCGCCCGCTAACTTAACGTGCTTCCCAGCCAGCCTGTGGTGTTTGGTCTTGGTTTTGAAGAGGCAGCGCCCCGCGTCACTTCTCCTTCTCTTCCTTTTCCTCCTCGCCCCTCCCTCGCCACCTGCTGCTCATCCTCCCCCTTTCAGCATCATCATCATCACCACCACCATCATCATCATCATCATCATCATCATCATCATCATCATCAGCATCAGCATCATCATCATCATCATCATCATCATCATCATCATCATCATCATCATCATCATCATCATCATCACCATCACCATCACCATCACCATCACCATCACCATCACAATCGCCATCATCATGGCCGTCATCATCACCATCATCGTCATCACTCCCGTGTCGGCACGCCCTTCGCACGTTTCGTGGAGCCATAGGGAGCTCCACCCCAGGTCCAATTGGCGCCGCCCGCATGTGGGCGCCACCCCCGTGCCGGCACACCCCTCGCACGCCCCGTGGCCTCCTAAGGAGCCTCGCCTAAGGTCCCATTGGCGCCGTCCGCATGTGGGCGCCACTCCGTGCCGGCACACCCCTCACTCGTTTCGTGGCCCAGAGGGCGCTCCACGGAAGGCCCTACTGGCGCCGCCTGCATTTGGGCGGAAAATTGGTGTGTGCGCACCCCTCAGACAGTTCGTGGCCCCGTGAGGAGCTCCACTTGAGGCCCCGTTGGCGCAGCCCGCATGTGGCCGACACCCCCGGTCAGCACACCCCTCACACGTTTCGTGGCCCCAACAAGGAGCTCCACCTCAGGCTCCTCTGGCGCCGCCCGCATGCGGGCGCCAGCCCCGTGTCGGCACACCCCTCACACGTTTCGTGGCCTCACAGGGAGCTCCACCTCAGGTCCCACTGGCGCCGCCCGCACGGGGCCACACCGCGCGTGATCCCCCCCCCCCTCCCTCCCAGCCCTTCCCTCCAGAACGTGACGCTCCCCCCCCCCTCCCAGTGCGTCCCCAGCACTGCAGCAGTGCGTTCCCAGTCTGGGGCGCCGGGCCGACGCGGCGGAGTCGGGGGGTACCTGATATGCCCCCCCCGCCCCCCCCGCCCCCCCCCCCTCCATATAACGCCCGCTGTCGCCGCGACAACGCTCCCTCGAGAGGCCGCCGATGCGATGGTCTCCCGGGGGGGGGGGGGAGGAGCACAGCTCCCTCGGTTGTGGCCCGTCGGCGCCAGCGGTGACTTGTTTTCAGAGGCCACGGCGGATGCCAGACGCCGGACAGGCCCGGCGAGGGCCGCTCGGGGACGGGCATGGGGAGGATAGAACAACCAAGCACGGCATAAACAAAACACGTTGGAGCTCCGCGCTGACTTCCTGGAGCGGCGCTGGGCTGGAGCTAGAGGGCAGGGGGGGCCAGCGCCGATCCAGGAAATTCGCGTGGAGGCCCGACAGTTTCTGCTTGTGCACTATGTTGCTTGTCCAGAGGAGGGGCACTGGGGGCGGAGACGCCATTGGGCCCGAACCGCTCCTCGTTCGCTTCGCCTGTTTGTCGCGTCCGCGTCCGCTGCTCTGAGTGTTCGGGCACGCGTGCACTTGACGTGGTATCACACGAGGTAGCACACAATACTCGCGAGTATCGCCATCGGGCGGATCTGCGCGTACAAGCGCATTCCAACGCACTTTCTCACTCCCACACACATGTTGTTCGCGGACAGTACGTACTTATGCGTATGCAATGTGCGTGCATGATGCGAGTCTCAGTACCTCCAGTGTCGATGTCTTGGCTGACGACAGACGCTCTCTTTCTGTCAGTCGCTCTCGTCGCCGTCAGAGGCCGCATCCACGACCATCGGTAGGTAGCCATGGGCTCGATGGCAATCGGGTCAAGCCAAATGGCGGGCTAAGTGGAGCTCTCGGTGCTCGCCGGGGGGGCGCTGGATCGGCGAATGGCTGACCTGCTCATACAGGAGCAACTGCAAGAGTTCCATGAACTATTCAAATCGTTCGACGAGGACAAGGATTACATGTTGTCGGTCGAGGAGTTGGGTCACGTGTTGAATGCCTTGGGACAAGACCCGACACGGGCGGAGCTGAAGTGCATGATCAAAGAAGTGAACGAGGAAGGTGAAGAGGCGATCGATTTTTGGCAGTTTTTATCTCTAATGGTGAAAAAGATGAAGACGTCCGAGATAAAGGATGAGCTGATTGAAGCATTCAAAGTATTCGACGTAGATGGCGATGGTTTCATCACCCCCGACGAGCTGATGAATGCAATGGAGCACCTCCAGCACCTCGGGGAGGATCTCAGCCAAAGCGAGATCGAAGAAATGATCAAAGAGGCTGATTCTGAAAATGATGGCAAGCTCGATTTCGATGAGTTTGAGAAGATGATGATGGGGAAGTGATTGGCCCTGTCCATTTGCAAGTCTTCAGCCCCCCAGCTCATCGCAATCACGGTGGTCATGACTAACTATTCGGGCATTATGGCATAATCTTGCTGTCAATGGCTATTACCACTGGCCACAAGTGTTAAGATGAGCTGGCCCCCCAACGAGAACGAAGAAGCACATCCCACGGTATGCCCTCCTGGCAGCTATCCGGACACACCGGCCACACCGGCCAAATGCATTTATTTCTTGATTCCTTTCGGTCTCCGCACCCCCCACTTTATCCCAAAGCTTTCTTGTACGTCGTGTGACCAATGTCATTTTGGTGTCAAGCTTTATCAGTTTTAATGGTCGCCAATCCGAGATTTGATGCGCAACATGCATTCTGATTGTGTTCGAGTGTTTGCTTTGACGGGTCGGAGTGGGGCCGCGTCCGGTGGCTCGTGGAGCCTCCCCGCGTCCTGAGGTCCGCGATGTGTTGTAGATGTGAAGCATACGCACGCGTGAACACCCATTGCAATGCGTATTGTTCAGGCGTTGCGGCCAGTGCCGCTGACCCAGAAGGACGACGACGACGACCACGACGACAACGACAACGATGAGCTGATGACCCTTTCACAGGCTCGGGACATCGGGCGGGGGCGGAGGAGGGAGGAGGAGGAGAAGGAGGAGGAGGAGGAGGAGGAGGAGGAGGAGGAGGAGTGTAAACCCGAGACTCATGAACGATGCTGAAATACACCCTCCCTCCAAGATCCCTCTCCATGGGCCTCTACAGGGGGTCATTTCCACAGGGGTTTGCCCCGCTTGGGGACAACCGTGTGGACATCTTGAAGCGTGCCAAATCATCATTTTCAGGGCTTCAACACCACGAGTTAACCTGACTGTTTCGTTTTGGCGATCCTGAATTATGTCAGAACTCACTTCCTGAGACTTGAAGACCGCGAATCTGAATAACTGTTGCGCCCTCACAACCCTGAATTGTTCCAAAACACCGGTTTTGGTACGTCTACCATGAGAGGTCGTGTAACTTCTGCAAATAAGGCGAGAGCCACATTTTGAAAATGAGCCACCTTCAATCCGTCAAATCCCTGCAAAGTGTCAGAACGAATGTGTGCGGCGCGAAGGCGAGAGCCAAATTTTGAAAACGACCCGCCCTCAATCCGTGAAGCTTTTGCAAGCTTATGGTACGAATGTGCGTATTGCTAAGGCGACAACCACATTTAGAAAACGAACCATCCTCCAACCGTGAAGCTCGTGCATTCTTCCCAAACGAATGTGCGCGGCGCTAAAGCGAGAGCCACATTTAGAAACCGACCCGCCCTCAACTCACTTGCCCGATCGGAGTCTCCCAAGGACCTCCAACCGTTTTTCCGTCGGCGGCTCGCAACTTCGGCCGAGCTTCAGCGCTCGTCCGTAGGACCACCCCCCACAGTTTCAACAGACGCGGTGCTGCCCGTGGGGCGCCAGGCGAGAGGAGGCAAACGGACCAGGAGACTCCGTTTCCCGAAGCCAGCGTCCCGGCCCGAGCGACGATGGTAGGTCCTTGGGGGTTCGCACGCAGCTTTTGCAGCACGTGACCGTCTTTTGTATTCCTCGTGTTGCCGCTCGGCGCGGGCCCGCAACCCCCCCCCTCCCCACCCCCTATGGAGTATATCTCGGCTGTTTTGTAGCGCCTGTTTCCAGCGGGTGGAGTCTCCCCCAGATGCAGCACTCTTGCAAACAGTCGCATTTAGCAGAGGTCTGGAGCCAGGCACCCCCCCCCTCCCCCCCTTTCCGCCCAACGTCGAAACGCCGAATAAGAGAAAAACGCTCACCTCGGTGGGCAGACCAGGGCATCCGTCCATCGGGAGCTGGTCTGGAGCTCAAACATGACACTGTAAACAAAGCGCGCCAGCCTGCCAGTCGTGCCACGTCGCTGGCCTACGCTTTCGTCCCGAGGCAGCGTGGAGGAGGTGGAGGAGGAGGAGGAGGAGGAGGAGGACCAGTCTAAACCCGTACTCATCAACGATATTGCAACAAACGTTCCCTCCAAGTTCCCTCTTCATAGGCTCCTGCACGGGTTCATTTTCACAGGGAAATGCCCCGTTGGAAGACAATCGTTTGAACATCTGCAGTTGTGCCAGAAAGCCATCCTTGGGACTTCAACGCCGCGAGCCACCGTTACCGTTGCGTCTTGACGATCCTGCATCGTGCCAGAATACCGTTCCTGGGATTTCAACACCGCAAATCAACGTGACTGTTTCGCCCTGACAGTCCGACATCGCGCCACATCATAGTTCTGGTACGCTAACCATGAGCATCCTTGAACATGCGATGCGCAGTGCTAACGCGAGAGCCACATTTTGAAGCACAACCGCACTCCACCCGTGAATTTGTTGCAAATTTTATAAGACCCAATGTGCGCGGCGCTAAGTCGAGAGCTACATTTTGAAAACGACCCGCCCTCCATCCGGGAAGCTCTTGCAATGTCTTCATGCAAGTCTGCGCGGCGCTAAGGCGAGAGCCGCATGTTGAGAGCGGACCGCCCTACACCCGTGAAGCTCGAGCAAATGTCAAGTTCCAGGATCACGAGTGGTGAGGGAGGCTCAGGCGAAACGCCTGGTCCGCCCTTTCGACCAGCCTCGGGGTTTGACAGGGAGGAGTTCTGAGTTATCGAGGACGCCTGCTGCGAATCACCGCCGCCCCCTGCCTTCTAGAATCGCCCATGTGGCCGAGCGTTGTGGCAAGAGCTCTTCCAAGCTATCCGACCATGTGTATCCCCCGCCGTTGTGGAAACCCTTCGGGGAACACGTGGGGGAGGATGGCGGGGAAGATCAGGAGGTGGCGGAGGAGGAGGTGGAGGAGGAGGAGGAGGAGGAGGAGGTGGAGGAGAACGAGGAGGAGGAGGAGGAGGAGGAGGAGGAGGAGGAGGAGGAGGAGGAGGGGGTATCTTGGGAGCCCCTGGGGACACTCTTGGAGCCTCCTGGGAGCTTCCTGGGAGCCTCCTGGAGGCATCTTGGGGGTCCTCTTGGAGGCCTCTTGGGGCCTGCGGGGGCTTCTCGGGGGCCTCTTTGGCCATCCTGTTGGGCTCCTAGCCCGTCTGACGCCGTCGGAAACCGTCTTGGGGGCCACTCTGGGCCGACTTGGGGCCCTCTTGGGGTGCTCCAGGGCTGTCTTGGAGGCCGTCTTGGGCGTCTTAAAGGCCTCTTGGGCCGTCTTGGGGTCCTCTTGGGCCCGTCTTGGAGGCCTCTTGGGCTGCTCTGGGGCCATCCTGGATGCCTCTTGGGCGATCTTGGGGCGATCCTTGGGGGGCTCTTGGGCCGTCTCGGGCCGTCGGAAGTCCGAAAAGAAGCAAATGCCACTATCCCTCAACGAGCTATAAGGGCAATCCATGATTTTGGCCTCTTCGGGCCTTCCTGGGGGCTCTCTTGGAGGCCTCTTGGGCCGTTTTGGGCCATTCGGGCCATCTTCGGCCGTCTTGGTGGGGCTCCTGGCCTGTCTGACGCCGTCGGAAGCCGTCTTGGGGGCCTCTCTGGGCCGACTTGGGGCCCTCTTGGTGCTACAGGGCCGTCTTGGAGGCCATCTTGGGCGTCTTGGAGGCCTCTTTGGCCGTCGTTGGGCCCTCTTGGGCCCGTCTTGGAGGTCTCTTGGGCCGTTCTGTGGCCGTCTTGGAGGCCTCTTGGGCGATCCTTGGCGGTCTTTTGGGCCGTCTCGGGCCGTCCGGAAGCCGACAAGAAGCAATTGCCACAATCCTTCAAAAAATAAGGAAGATCCATGATGTTGGCCTCTTATGGCCTTCCTGGGGGCTCTCTTGGAGGCCTCTTGGTAGAGCCATCTTGGGCCGTCTTGATGGACTCCTGGCCCGTCTGACGCCGTCGGAAGCCGTCTTGGGGGCCTCTCTGGCTGGGCCGACTTGGGGCCCTGTTGGGGTGCTCCAGGGCAGTCTTGCAGGCTTCCTTGGGCCGTCTTTGGGCCTTTTTGGGGCCCTCTTGGGTGCCTCTGGGGCTATCAAGGGCCATCTTGGAGACCTCTTGGGCGCTCGTGGGGCGATCCTGGGGACCTCTTGGGCCGTCTTGGGCCGTCAGCGAGCTGAAAATTATCCCAGTGCGACCCTACCTAGGAGTTGGAGCCTCTAGAAAAGCAACATTAGTAGGAGCAGTAAACGCCGTCCTCCTCCTTCTCCTCATCGTCGTAATTGCAGCAGTAGCGGTAGTAGTAGTAGTAGTAGTAGTAGTAGTAGTAGTAGTAGTAGTAGTAGTAGTAGTAGTAGTAGTAGTAGTAGTAGTAGTAGTAGTAGTCGTTGTATTAGTAGTAGTAGTAGTAGTAGTAGTAGTAGTAGTAGTAGTAGTAGTAGTAGTAGTAGTAGTAGTAGTAGTAGTAGTAGTAGTAGTAGTAGTAGTAGTAGTAGTAGTAGTAGTAGTCTATAGTCGTTAGTCGTTATGTCGTAGTCGTAGTTCGTTAGTCGTAGTCGTAGTCGTAGTCGTAGTCGTAGTTCGTAGTAGTAGTAGTAGTAGTAGTAGTAGGAAGGTAGTCGTAGTAGTAGTTTTTGTAGTAGTAGTAGTAGTAGTAGTAGTAGTAGTAGTAGTAGTAGTAGTAGTAGTAGTAGTAGTAGTAGTAATTGTCGTAGTAGTAGTAGTAGTAGGTAGTAGTAGTAGTAGTAGTAGTAGTAGTAGTAGTAGTAGTAGTAGTAGTAGTAATAGTAGGAGTAATAGTAGCAGTCGTAGTCTTAGTATTCGTTGTCGTAGTAGTAGTCGTGGTAGTAGTAGCCGTTGTGCTAGTAGCAGTTAGCAGTAGCAAAGTAGTCGTAGCAGTAGTAGTATTGGTCGTAGTAGCAGTGGTAGTGGTAGTAGTAGTAGTGGTAGTGGTAGTAGTAGTAGTAGTAGTAGTAGTAGTAGTAGTAGTAGCAGTGGTAGTAGTAGTAGTAGTAGTAGTAGTAGTAGTAGTAGTAGTAGTAGTAGTAGTAGTAGTAGTAGTAGTAGTAGTGAGTAGTAGTAGTAGTAGTAGTAGTAGTAGTAGTAGTAGTAGTAGTAGTAGTAGTAGTAGTAGTAGTAGTAGTAGTAGTAATAATAATAGTAGTAGTAGTAGTAGTAGTCGTAGACGTAGTCGTAGTCGTAGTCGTAGTCGTAGTCGTAGTCGTAGTCGTAGTCGTAGTCGTAGTCGTAGTTGTAGTCGTAGTCGTAGTCGTAGTAGTAGTAGTAGTAGTAGTAGTAGTAGTAGTAGTAGTAGTAGTAGTAGTAGCGCCAGAACCGCCGACGCCACGCCGTAAGTGAAGCAGCAGCAGAAGCAGACAGCAAGTCGCCGAGAAAGCAGCAACAGCAAGCAGGCACGGAGATGAGGGCCGGGCACTGGGGAGCTCTTTACATCTACATCTATATCTACACCTACATCTACATCGACAGCTACATCTGCATCTAGACCTACATCTACATCTACACCTACAGCTACATCTACATCTACATCCGCATCTACATCTACATCTACATCTACATCTACATCTACATCAACAGCGAGACTCACATCTACATCTACATCTACACATACATATACACCGACATCTACATATACATCTACATCTACATCTACATCTACACCTACACCTACATCCACATCCACATGTACACATACACCTACATCTACATCTAC